AAAATATCCTAGAAGAACACATTGTGAAGTAACCTCGAACCAAGTTTGAGAAAAATTGTACGTCGGGAACATATAATAATATCTTGTTAAACATGGCCCAAACAGGAATTTTACATCAAAAGTAATAAATATCAGTATTTCAACCCCAAATTTTGTACTTTTCGATTACGTGCCCCACTTTTGAATAAAATATCCTAGAAGAACATATTGTGAAGTAACCTCAAACCAAGTTTGAGAAAAATTGTATGTCGGGAACATATAATAATATCTTGTTAAACATGGCCCAAACAGGAATTTTACATCAAAATTAGTGAATATCGGCATTTTAACCCAAAATTTTGGACTTTTCGATTACGCGCCCCACTTTTGAATAAAATATCCTAGAAGAACATATTGTGAAGTAACCTCGAACCAAGTTTGAGAAAAATTGTATGTCGGGAACATATAATAATATCTTGTTAAACATGGCCCAAACAGGAATTTTACATCAAAAGTAATAAATATCAGTATTTCAACCCCAAATTTTGTACTTTTCGATTACGTGCCCCACTTTTGAATAAAATATCCTAGAAGAACATATTGTGAAGTAACCTCGAACCAAGTTCGAGAAAAATTGTATGTCGGGAACATATATTGATATCTTGTTGAACATGGCCCAAACAGGAATTTTACATCAAAATTAGTGAATATCGGCATTTTAACCCAAAATTTTGGACTTTTCGATTACGTGCCCCACTTTTGAATAAAATATCCTAGAAGAACATATTGTGAAGTAACCTCGAACCAAGTTTGAGAAAAATTGTATGTCGGGAACATATAATAATATCTTGTTAAACATGGCCCAAACAGGAATTTTACATCAAAAGTGATAAATATCAGTATTTCAACTCCAAATTTTGTACTTTTCGATTACGTGCCCCACTTTTGAATAAAATATCCTAGAAGAAGATAGAAGAAGAAGATTTGGGAAGATATGGTAATTCAATTGGCTATTTGAAATATTCGACTTTTTATGCAAAAGTCTCAGCTTCTGAGAAACAAAACATATCGCGAGATAATCGCACTCAGGGAATCATGGAAAAAAGTCAGCAAGAACTAAAGCGAACTCGTTTAAACAACAGACGATTTAAACGTCTTGACGAGATTGCTATAGTTTATGATGAACTCCATGACTCTCTGATTAGGGAATATGAAGATAATTTGATTGTTTGTCCAAAAAAAAGGAAAGTTGAAAACAATGACCAAATTGACCAAGAAATTGAGAAATGGAGTAAACGATCCCGAATTCAGGGTAAAGACAAATGTAAAGGAGTGTATCTTCAGCCCCCCATTAGACCTCTAAAGATGTTTCGACCTCAAGAACTTTCTAATAACGATAGCCCAATTCTAATAAAAGCTGACGAAGCGTCTACTACACAATCTATGATGTTGCGGTTCGTCTCAACCGAAAATTCCATTCCAAAAATTTGTACATTTATCTGATGTCGATCATAAAATAATGAATTCCAAAACTAATTTTAGAAGAGACTGGTTTTACTTCGGATATTATGAAACACCGCACAATTAATTTTGTCATCTCGGTATTCTGAAGTAGACGGGTTGCAAGCACGACTTTTTATACAACGCTATCTGGCCCTAAAGTGTATGTTCCTTCTGAAAATTTTGTTCAAATTTTATTTGTGCACGAAAATCACTGGGTAACAGCATCAAATATATTCACCGCCGACCAAAATACTATACAGATTTATGATAGCTCCTATATGAAGTACAATGAAAATGACAAATATGCGATTTCGCTTCTTATGCGGCCAAGGCAAGGAACAAATAAAGTACAAATTGAATTCCCCGTTGTCCAGCAACAAACTTTAGGTGCATCATGTGGCCCATTCTCGATTAGTTTTTGCATAGCCCTATGTAACAAAATACGACCAGAGCATATCCTATTTGACGAGAAAAATCTTAGGAAGAAAATATGCGATGGTATAGTCTCTGAAAATTTTTCGTCGGTATTTAACATCAACAAGAAACGTGTTATACCCGCGCCCAGGCGATTGGAAATTCAGATTTTTTGCAACTGCCAACTGTCTTACATTGAAAATCAGACCATGATCGAATGCACTTCATGTTTAAAATGGTACCATCCGAAATGTTGTAGTATTCCAGTGCCAGTTGAGGCACTGGAAAACAGCGAAATAGAATGGAACTGCAAAAAATGCATTCGATGCTAAATTACATGCAAAGCAATATTCAACTAGGTATGATCATTTACATTCTCATTTTTTTTAGGTACATCATTCGAGTCAGACGAAGGATCAGTCTGTTTTACCTATTTGGCTTAACATGCCCTTTGTCAGGTTTTTCTCTCTCGGTCTAGTCTATAATATTGAGATGAAAACCGCCACGATGGTTGGCACCTTGACGTGGTGTGGTGGCTTTCTACTAAGACCAACCATTTTAAAAAAAAATTTTAAATATAAGATGGATCCCTAGTATGAAAGAACGAGATGATTTCACAATTCGTTTATGTTATCTTACTTAAATTGAGGCACGCCATTATAATGTATACAGTATCCTGGGTTGTGATAGCGTTGTTTATTAATTTTAAGTCGGATTCTTGTTTGGGCCATGTTTGACAAGATAATATTATACGTTCCCGAAATACAATTATCCAAAGCCTTGGTTCGAGGTTACTTCACAATATGTTCTTTTGGGATATTTTATTCAAAAGTGGGGCACGTAATCGAAAAGTCCAAAATTTTGGGTTAAAATGCCGATATTCACTAATTTTGATGTAAAATTCCTGTTTGGGCCATGTTTAACAATATATTAATATATGTTCCCGACATACAATTTTTCTCAAACTTGGTTCGAGGTTACTTCACAATATGTTCTTTTGGGATATTTTATTCAAAACTGGGGCACGTAATCGAAAAGTCCAAAATTTTGGGTTAAAATGCCGATATTCACTAATTTGATGTAAAATTCCTGTTTGGGCCATGTTTAACAATATATTAATATATGTTCCCGACATACAATTTTTCTCAAACTTGGTTCGAGGTTACTTCACAATATGTTCTTTTGGGATATTTTATTCAAAACTGGGGCACGTAATCGAAAAGTCCAAAATTTTGGGTTAAAATGCCGATATTCACTAATTTGATGTAAAATTCCTGTTTGGGCCATGTTTAACAAGATATTATTATATGTTCCCGACATACAATTTTTCCCAAACTTGGTTCGAGGTTACTTCACAATGTGTTCTTTTGAGATATTTTATCCAAAAGTGGGGCACGTAATCGAAAAGTCCAAAATTTTGTGTTAAAAATTCCGATATTCACTAATTTTGATGTAAAATTTCTGTTTGGGCCATGTTTAACAATATATTAATATATGTTCCCGACATACAATTTTTCTCAAACTTGGTTCGAGGTTACTTCACAATATGTTCTTCTAGGATATTTTATTCAAAAGTGGGGCACGTAATCGAAAAGTACAAAATTTGGGGTTGAAATACTGATATTTATTAATTTTGATGTAAAATTCCTGTTTGGGCCATGTTTAACAGGATATTATTACATGTTCCCGACATACAATTTTTCTCAAACTTGGTTCGAGGTTACTTCACAATATGTTCTTTTGGGATATTTTATTCAAAAGTGGGGCACGTAATCGAAAAGTCCAAAATTTTGGGTTAAAATGCCGATATTCACTAATTTTGATGTAAAATTCCTGTTTGGGCCATGTTTAACAAGATATTAATATATGTTCCCGACATACAATTTTTCTCAAACTTGGTTCGAGGTTACTTCACAATATGTTCTTTTGGGATATTTTATTCAAAAGTGGGGCACGTAATCGAAAAGATCAAAATTTTGGGTTAAAATGCCGATATTCACTAATTTTGATGTGAAATTCCTGTTTGGGCCATGTTTAACAAGATATTAATATATGTTCCCGACATACAATTTTTTTCAAACTTGGTTCGAGGCTACTTCACAATATGTTCTTTTGGGATATTTTATTCAAAAGTGGGGCACGTAATCGAAATGATCAAAATTTTGGAGTAAAATGCCGATAGTCACTAATTTTGATGTAAAATTCCTGTTTGGGCCATGTTTAACAAGATATTAATATATGTTCCCGACATACAATTTTTTTCAAACTTGGTTCGAGGCTACTTCACAATATGTTCTTTCGGGATATTTTATTCAAAAGTGGGGCACGTAATCGAAAAGATCAAAATTTTGGGTTAAAATGCCGATATTCACTAATTTTGATGTAAAATTCCTGTTTGGGCCATGTTTAACAAGATATTATTATATGTTCCCGACATACAATTTTTCTGAAACTTGGTTCCAAATGACTTCACAATATTTTTTTTGAGATATCTTATCCAAAAGTGGGGCACCTAATCGAAAAGTACAAAATTTGGGGTTAAAATGCCGACATTTATTAATTTTAATGTGAAATTTCTTTTTGGCCATGTTTGACAATGTAATATTATATGTTCCCAACATATAAATTTCATAAAACTTGAATTAGGATGACTTTAATATAAGTTCTTTTTTTATATCATCTTCAAAAATCTGCCCGGCCATCGGAAATTACAGATAAGTTTTGGGTAATTCTGAGTGTAGCAAAATTTCGCCGTAAATCTGGCAAGTACTTTGCGACTAGCTTTCCTTTTTTTCCGACGCGGCATTTGAGTGCCATGTTGAATCGTTTTCTGGCAACGCTATTTTACCGTTCCGAAAACGAGAGAGATGTCCGCTGAGAGATGTCTGCTAGGGTAACTTTGGTGTAAAACTGTAATTTTCATTTTTTTCTCGTATTTTCTGTATTCATTTGTTTTTTATTTATTTACTGGCTTGAAAAAATAAACTTAACTTGATCGGTTGTTAAGGCATGTTTCGGTTATTCCAGAATACAGAACTAACGTTAGAGTACTTCTAGGCTGTACGGTACTACAGAATACTGTAATGTCTCTTTATTACTGCATGAGCATGTTTTTATTTTCAACAGATACCCTAGTCTAGCAATTAATGTTGCAGCATCAAAGATTTTGTGGTTACTGGTAATAAATAATGTCTACCTTTGTTCATAAAGCTACTCTTTTGAACCGTCTATTAGATGCAACAAGAGAATGTCAGACTCGATATTCAACAAAAAAAGAAATAATGACTGAAACAAACAGTTGTGTATCGTGTGTATGTCGTCAGTTTGAAGATGTTCTTTCTCATGGTATCAAACAACGTCCAATCGTTAGTGGTATTGCAACTATTCAAATTGTAACTGGGTTACAGTTGGTTGATCAAGATGTTGTATTTTGGCATTGTGTACAAAAACATTTAAGCAAACATGAAGTTGAGCGCTTTAATAGTTTATACCACATTTCTACAGATATTGGAAGAGGCCGTGCATGGTTAAGGAGCTCTTTAAATGAACACTCTTTGGAGCGTGTACTACAAATGCTTCTAAGTGATCCTCTTGGACTGAAATCGTATTATTCTCAAGATGCATTTTTACTTGATGAAGAAAAAGCAAGTCTCTTACCCCAAATTGCGGGGGGATTGAAAAGTGTTATGTTTTCAATAAAAATCGATGATAACGCATTAAACAGTTTTCCTCAAAGTTTTGGAAATAATCTCGGTCATGCAAGGGCGGATAGCGGTGGTGGTGGAGGCTTTACTCTACCTTCTCTGTCTCAAGTTTCCAATTTATTAGGTCATGAAGTTGCAATGGAAGAGTTCCCACAGGCTGCCATTCAAACAGTTGGCAGCTTGCCAGCTAAACTAGACGAAGGTAATAAGAAGCGAAAGAAAAAAGCAAAGACAAAAATAATAACGTTTGGTCATAATGGAACTTCTTTGAGTGAGAGATCTGCCTCTGTCTGGAGTGCTGATGGCCGGGGATCATCTAGAAGAAGTCATTCGTATTCACATGAGACTTCGAATTCCTCAATTGAAAGTCAACTTGACATTAGATCAAACATAAATTCTGATCATTTGCAAAATGATGCGTCCGGATACACTATGCAAACAATCGAACCTGCATCAAACAAAAATACAACAGAAGCAAGCTTCACAAACAGAATGACAGATATTCCCAAGCAAAATGAGGAATTGCATATTCATGCAACTAATAAAAAAGCTACTGCTGTACTTATGACCCTCGATTTTGAACCGGAAGAAGATATTTACAAGCTAACATTAGAAGAGAATATTGACGAATCAAAGCCAAGCTCAAGTAGCATTATTCTTCAAAACGATCCTCGACCTGGGAAAGATATGAATTTGGTTTTTAATGAAGCAAATAATATTATCAACCCATCACTGGCAGAGAGCTACAGTGAAAAGAAAATTGCAGACAAACTAGACTCTTCTTTCCAATTAAGATTCGAAAGTGGTAGTGACATATCCTCACTCAATGAGTCTGCGGAAACGGATGCAAAATCAATTGTATCAACTTCAAGTTCTAATCAATTTGATGTGAATTATTCAGACACTGGAAGTCTAAACTCTGGTGCTGAAATAATGTTCACACCCTTGAACGACACGGATTCTATAGCATCAAGCGGTTCATTCCCAACTACTTTAATGCACAGGAATTTTCCACTATCCAGATACACTCATTCTCCAAAAAACAATTCATCAAGTTCATCCATGTTTGATGACGATAAGACTTCTGATGGAAAAAATGCAGATCTTCAAAAAGCACTAGTTGTTTTATTACAACGTAAAGATGAACTTGTGGAGGAAAACAAAGCTATCAAAGAAATGTTGAGAGCTGAACAACAGCACAATGCTGATTTGCGAGAGGAGAATGAAAAACTAAAGCTGCAGGTGGAGGATCTGGAACATGCAGCAAAATCAGATTCACAGAAACAGCTTAGAGAAAACGAAGTTCTTAGAAATCAATTGAAGAAATACGTAGGAGCTGTCCATGCTCTCCAGCATGGAAAGGCATCAGGTGTATCTCAAGAAGGAATACCTGGTATTGGAGATGCAGAGGACGTGTCATCATCTCCGAACCAAGGTGCAGATTTATCTTGTTTTCAAACAAATGTTTGTTAAAGTAATATGCTGATTTGAGTGATTTTGTATATATATATACAAAAAGTAAACTATTATTTTTCAGGCGATGACTCCAATTATCGGTATCAATCCACTAAAATTATATCTTTGTGGCAGCTGGTATCATTGCTATGATTTGGCCTATAAATTAACATAATTTTCGAAATTCACTGTTAGCATAATCTTATTATAATTTGAACTTTTATTAACTATTCAGATACCCATTTTTTATGATTTTGATTTAAACTGATTTTAATAAAACTCAATGATTTCAATTGAATGCATTTGGTTAGGCTTTCTGCCTATGTGATGTAATATGTTGTTTATCAAATGTAGCGTAGGCCATGGATGGTATACTTACTCATTTTCAGAATGGTTATAATACAATTGCATTTGTTATATGTATCACTTGTACAAATTGTCACATTCTCCCAGATAATAAATAAACTCAGTAAGATTTATGTGTGTTTTCTACTCATTTGATATCTGGCTGCTCTATTTTCATATAGGGGTTATGAATAGTAACCTAATCATTTTGCTTCCAGATGAAAGCAATGAAGCAAAGATTTATGAACAAAAGCTTATTGATGTAACTGAGATGCATGGTGAATTGATGGAATTTACGGAGTCAATTCATACAAGATTTCTATCTGCTCTCTCACTCATACATAAAATGCATGATGAATTGGTGGCACTGCGCGGTCCGATGCCTACTGATGATGTTATTAAAGCTATTGAAGCAGACAAGCCAAGAGATAATATGGCAGCTGTACCTGTAATGGCTCGAGCACTGGTAAATGTTTGGGTGCCGTCTGCCTTTATGCAGGGATCTGGACCAGAATCACATCATGTTTACCAAGTGAGTATTATGAATGATTAGTTTGTCATGACAAAATGTACATATAGATTGGTCTTATAATTTAATCTGTTGTCTCATCTATTAAAAGGTCTACATATGTGTTGGAGAAGATGAATGGAATGTATATAGAAGATATTCAGATTTCCATAGTCTGCATAATATGCTCTGTAAATCATACCCTGAGATTCAAAACTTTGGATTTCCTCCAAAAAAGGTGAGTCATTGTTTAAACTAATGGAAAAGCTCAGGAGAGTCGCAGGTCCCCACAGATATTTATCACATGAGGTACTCCCCAAAGTATGTGAACCAAGATGGTGGACACCGGAACGTAGTATGTGTAGCAGGTTAGGGTTAGGCCATAATTTCAGGTACAAATACTAAGTGAGTCACTTGGCTAGTCCCCGTACTCGTAATAGAACTGAAATAAGGAAAATTGTACCTGAAATTATGGCCTAACCCTAACCTGGTACACATACTACGTTCCGGTGTCTGCCATCTTGGTTCACATGCACCAGTAGTACCTCACATGCTAGCAAAGGTGTCGCATTTTTATTTTGGGTTAATAAACTATATGTCTGTGGTTGCCAAACCAGAATATTAGTCTGCAGAGGCCCTGTGAGTAGATAACTATACTTTATTACATAGTTTACATTCAAATGATATAGGCCACGTAATATTGCAAACGTTCATCTGGAGTATTTTAGTGATTAGATTTACCAACACACAATTTCAATATTGTGATGTGGTAGGCACAGCACCATATCTAAAAATCCCAGCAAAAATAGAGAGCATGGCCATGGGCACTAATGCCCCTGTGTGGTGGGGACCATTCAAATAGCGATTGGGACCATATCAGCATTCCTACATCTAACTGACAGGCCGTTTATTTTTTTAATAATAATTTCCTCAATGCTATATATCAGGGGTGGGCACAATTTTTTAGTATAAGAGCCTCATGCTGCAAGTTAGAACTTTAAAAGAGCCGCAGAATTTGTGAATTCATTAATATTATCAAAATACCATGAACAGAAAAGAAATTTACACAAGAGTCTAATAACAAAAAATAGATAAACAAGGCAGCTATGCTCAAATATATGCACAATTTGAGCTCATTTAATTTGTGTTTCCTTATTGCTGATTTACGAGGGTAGTCTGGTAAGAAGTTTTCATGATTCGTTTCATGGTGCCGTTTAATTAACATTGCTGACTTTATTCTAATTATTCTGACTTAGTAGCTTATGGCAGATTAACCACAAAAGTTTATTCTCTTGACTGGAAAATGCGTATTCTTCTTCCCATTCGGACTTGACAACTCTGTTTTCATCTCCGTACTTTCCTTTCTTAATTGAGGACATATCGCAGAGTAACTCAGACTAACTAACCGCAATCAAGCTGCAATACCACCGACGCATCAATAAACATTGACCATTGTGACAAAAGATTTGCTGACTTGACTGACTTAAATTCAAAATTCAATGATACAGCGATTTTCATACTAAAACATAATTTGTCTCAATCATTGACCAAACTTCTTTACGACTTTTAATAAATTAAAGAAGTTCACATCAAAGTTTTTCTCTTAGTTAAAATTTGGATAATAATTTATGTTAGCGAGAAGAGCCGCACAAAAAGTCTGGCCGGTGTGCCCACCCCTGCTATATATATTGGTACTGCAAAATCATATCTTGTGACTGGAACTGTCTGTGGCTGGGCTGCTACCAGGTTGAGGAATAGGTATACGGGCCGTAACCCTGCTTGGATTTTTTTTATACAAGTGTTCTGCTTAGAACAAACAACAGCGCCATTTTACAGTCAGTGCATAACACTTTCATGTTCTGTTAGTTGACACAGATATTGCTGCCTATAGATTTGAGATGCATACCACACATAGAGTCTATCCGATGGTGCAAAGTGCAGAATAAAATAATTTACTTATTTCAAAATGCATGGTATATTAAAAGAATTGCAAATCGTGGCAGAGTCAAAATGGCTTGAAAATATATTACAGAATGATATTTATTCTTTGACTTGTGAAATCCATCAACAACGATTGTCGAATCAGCGAAAAAATGGACACTGTCGTCTGTCGATTGTAATCCAACCAGAGAGATAACAGACACATTTCCATTTCTTGCAATGAATTGCCAAGAAACGAATTTAATTATGTCACTGAAATATTGTTACAGTCTGTTTCTCTGTTTCTTTTAATAACAAACTGATAATAATTATTACCAGATTATAATCTGTTAATAATTGGCCACTTATAAGAAGAGAAGTGGTATGCCTATATCAATAATTCCCAAACCACGGACCACAGACATCTAAAATAGCACTGAAGCAGGATGGTAGTGACATTGATACAGTTGAAAGCTGAACGAAAAATTCTCAAAGAGTGGAATTCCTTTCCAAACAATTTTAGAACAATAAAAGGACTTATCGTAGCATCATAAACTATTTTTGGTTATATAAATTTCATAAAGTCCAGTATCAGGAGTCGCCTGTGACCCACAATCTTCTATTCCACAATAAAAATAGGAGTTTTGACACATTCGGTTATGAAGGTTCGAAATCTCTGTTATATGGTATAGACCAGGCCTGCCCAACCTTTTTCGTCTCGCGGGCCACTTTCATGTGAAGAAACCGGTCGCAGGCCCCAAACATTAATACCAGATAAGTCCTGATTTTGGTGTAGGTAATTAAATAATACATGAAAGGCGAGTTTATTAACATGAAATCAATCAAATTAATAATTGCTTTCTGGTTACTGGGTAGGGCTGGCAAATTATTCGAATATTAGAATAGCGGTTTACTATTCGAATATCTGGTACACGGGGCGTGGACATAACACTCTCGGGCGACCGAATCAAAGAATCAATCATTACACAACACACTTGCCGTTTTTTGGCGACGACGCAAGAAACACACACATCACGTCAAAGTTGAGTGTTATATTTGCGTTGTTTTAAATCATTCATTTTCAGTAGCTACGATACTGCTTTATTGTTTAAATGAGCATAATGTGCGTCAATGTCGCGGCAATACCAAGTTTTAGTGGGCCGTTTCGTAGAATTTGAAACACCAATACAAGTATTTAATGAAGCAACATAACAAAGATTTCTGAACGAATAGTCGATATTTACTGATTTGTGACTAATTAGTAGCAATGCCATTACGCCAATTTCATCAGAATTATTGACGAATACGCAGTGACGACATTTCCAAAATTTTATTTAACGCGAACATAACATGAACGAAAGTACAAACATAAAAAGACAACGACTCCTTGGTATAGACACTAAAAAGTAGTCCATAGGACATTTTATATTTCATCTATTTTATATTATTTCATACTGGGCATCGCCGAATTGAGCAAACCAGTATCAATATACAAGGTATGTTTGTATTATCAGGGGATCGGAAATCGTAACAGCAAATTTGTCGAGGAGAGAAGAAGAGCGTTTCAGAAGTATCTGAGATTAGTCATGCATAATGTATTTCAGAACAACCCAGAACTCAAAGCCTCTCCAACAAAAGCTACTCTCCTCCATATATTACCCTTTTTCTGTGATGCTGGTGATCAGTGCCGTGTAATAGTTGGTAAGCACAAAAAATAAGCAATAAACCTAACCAAGTTTTATTACTTTGAATTATATTATTGTTATACTGTGATTGTCAGAATTAGAGACACTTTTATATCACTTGAAAGATTTTAGTTTGATTAATATGCTGATTATCCATTGAAAGTGATGTTTGAAATCAGTTACCAGATCTTAATGAGCATGCATGGCCTTTGAATGTTTTTTTATTCTGACCATGATTTTTATGTTTGGCATATGTATTTGATCAGTGATCACTTCATTTAGTACCATACTTCAGGAATTCAATAGTACTTATATTTTTTACATGTAATAAGTAGACAAAGATCCATTTTCTATTGTCAACTGCCTTACCTGCAATCTTGGAATGTTCTGGTTACGTCTTTCAGTTATATTTTTGAATCAAACATCAAATTGAAACTACGGCGAATCACAGATTTTCAATTATGATAAAAGGAATGGACTCACTTGTTGTACTGACATGTTTTAATATGCTGGTATCAAGTGATCATGTTAAATTGTTAGAATCAAATTCAAGTCATGAATTCAAATCATTTTGTAATGATTGGTAAAGTGAGTATATCATTCTATTAGTTTGAAGATCTATATAGAAGTTGCAGTTGATTTCTTAGAGTTTACAGTTTTACATTGTTCTTTTAATTTTTACATCCTATTCCTAACGATGCAGTGTTAATAAATGTGAGGTGTGTATAACTTATTCAAACTTATATTGCTAGTTCATACATATTACTTGAATACTTAGCCATGTCAAGATTGCTTCATTTTTTGTATTTGTAGACTGTAGAATTATTCATTCCATCTCTTTTCTCCTTAAACTAAATGTTAAATATTTTATCCAAATAGCCATAACTCTCACTGGGTATAGGAAAATGGTTTGAATTTGGGTATGGAGCAAAATAGTACTAAAAAATTGCTCCATAAATCTTTTTCTTTTGAGCATGATTTGACCGGTATTGGGAGAGAACTCTCGTACTCTGCTAGTTTACAGATGATTAAACATGCTAAATTTGACTACAGCTCATTGTGTTGGTGTACACTGTACATGCCCGAGAGAAACAGATACAGGATGTCCCAAAAAAACAGAACAATTTCCTAATTACTTCTGTGAAAATGGAGTAAACTATTTGATTTTGTTTATACTTGAACTTCAGTTTGTGTAAGATTGTACCCAAAAATTTCGTGAATCTAGGACGTTTTGCACAAAAGTTATGTTCTGTCTAGAAAATGTTCCAAATCACCTCTTAAGCTTAAGAGACAGTCTTGTAACCGCTGCGCGGAATTGATTATCCCCAACTCAGTATACTGCTGAAGTGCGCTTTATGATGCCTGGGTATGCCGATGACAAAAATACTAATTACCTGGGTACAACACCTTCGAAAAAAGTCTTACAGAGAACGCTACACGCAGTTTTGTGCGCATTATGGGAAGCCATTCCCAAACATTGCATAATGTTCCATATTGGTTTGAAGACGAAAATCAAATGCTGAATATGGAACATTATGTGGCGGTGCGGGGAAAGTGCTGGGCATCGTTTGGACAAAGTAGAGGGATGGATTGAGTTGATCAGTGGTTCCAGCATGACTGGATAAGAGAGCGATTTGAGAAAAGGTTGATCAGCAGGAAGTCTGTCTCCAATGGATCAAAAATTTTGTGCAAAGCGTCCTAGATTCCTGACCCTTTTTTGGGTCACCCTGTAAATATTGATATTAAGCTACCTCTGTCAGCTGTAGGGATTCCCTGACCGGTATCATGTAAAACCTAAATTTTATGCTTTTAACTCACTCATTCACGAGGAAAACCTGGCACATTGTCAAATAGGCTTGCTGCTTATTAATAATTAATATTCAAGTAAACTTAACTGGCATGAGTATATTTTTTAATCATTACAAATCTGATCCAAATTTCATATTTGTTAACTGGGCTTGAGTAAGCATCTAACATGCAGCCTAGGTTAGTTTCCTTCAACACTAAATATGGAAATGTCTTTGATTATGTGATTGAGAATCTTATGTTGCAATATTCTTAACTGATTTTGATTTTATGGGCATTTGTAACATCAATTAACTATCATGAACTCTAATTTTTAGAATTCTCAAATTTCTGCACATTATCTGTAGTTGGAAAAGTTGTGACAAATATTTTAAAATTTATTTTTGCGAAATCTGCTATCAGTATTAAATCGCTGATTTGGACGTTTTTAAATTTCACCATCTGAAATCGTTTATTAGCATTAATATTCCTAGTGTAATAAAGCTGAATTAAGTGCAAGAAATTTGTAAGTTTTGAATTGTAAAAAATATCACCTGATACCGCACTGGCCAGTTTCTTCGCCTAGATTGCTATTATTTTGCCAAATTTTTGTATGAAATAATATCTAGTTTGCATTGTTAATATTTAATCAGGAATTGGTTCACAAAATTGAAAGTGAAAATTATGGGAAGCTGCCGAATGTTCTGATGCTATCATTTGATCACACTTAACTCAAAGTGCAATTTTATTGGAAAACCTCAATCATTTTATTATGTGCTCAATTTCAAGAATTTGCCACTATCCGAGAGTGGTGCTTTTTGTGTCAATGTGTGTTTAGGATTGTTTAAGTATGGACATGATTTCTCTGTGGTTGAGAACTTGGAATGAACTTATGTTATAAACTCTGATTTATTGAATTTTACAATCTGATTATATGGGTGATGTCTTAGCATCTGTCAGGGTCTTTTATTTTGAAAATCCTCAAAGATGTTGCATCAAATATTACCATAAAGCCTCTGCTCAACCCACATGTTATACGATTTTTAAAACCTCTCAAGACATTGGACCTGAGAATGTTTGAGTCTTATTCAGCATTGGGCAATGAAGGCACGATTCAGAATTCTTCAGCTCGAAGGGAACGCTCGTGTTTGGTAAATGAAATGGCATTGAAGTCATTCCAAATTCCCAATCCATCACGCTGACAATTGGGAATTTCATATTTGATGTGATAATGTTGTCTGTCCCCCTCTATACCAAAATGATGATCAATTAGTAACATCTACTCTAATCATTTTGTCTCGTTATTTAATTTTTGTTCTATATCTAGGACAACAACCATATTTTCGTTTTATTTTTATGGATTATGTGCAATAAACGTGATTTATTACCTAAGTAATGTGGTGCCTTTTGTGTTAAGATTTGATGAGAGAGAGAGAGAGAATTTATTATTTCGTCAACAAGAAAACACATTATTTAAAATTAATTGTAACAAAATAAGTGGAACAAAAGTTTTCGGTATGACTGGGGGGTAACGATACGACCATTTACGGTCATCTGAGTCAGTTCCAACCAACCAATTACGGAATTATCTTAGTACTAAAATAGGGAATATTCCATTTCAATAGATGGCAAACAATTCTTGGTGTGATACACGACACTCACTGCTGCTCATTGAGCTTTTTCATGAATATTATTACCGTATGGGAGCTATTTTTGGTGAATGAGCACGTGCATTGCACCTCGTGAACTTTATTCTCAAATTTTGCTCATTTTCCAGGCGTTTCTGTTATAAATTTGATTTGTTTGTTCCATTAAGGGCTGTAGCTTATATATTGTATTGTATATTTTTCACCTACAACCGATTACTTTATGACTTCCACGTGGTTGATATCCAATCTCCAAAACAAACTATGTTAATGAAGTCAATGCGGGAGTTCAAGAAAAATGTACTTGGTATACTTCGTTACCACGTAACGTGAGGCTTTGGCATGTGACGGCGGGCATCCATGACTCACAAGAAATAATGAAACCCTGTCCGGATCTGGATTGTTTGCAAAATTTACGTTTGGTAGCAGAAGTCTTTAAAATGAAATAATTTCATCGGATGATAAATTTTACGAAGCCCAAATAATATTAAACACCAGATTACGCCTGAAGTTATTTACTGGCCTGTTGAAACACAGGACTATAAATTTCATATATATACATCGTCTGGTGACAAATCCGTCGCCTGTAGGCCTATACGACTTAGCAATATAAAATTAATCGTTTACCGTTTGCCACCTTTTACCAAGGCACTTTCACTTTTTCGTTAATGTTTACGTATTTTGCTCTAGGTTTTTAAAACACGCACAGGATTGTCACAATTATACAGTGGGAGACGGAGGCCGATAAGTCGCCTCAGTTGTAAACTACGTACGAATTGTAAACTACGATCTCCTTCACGATTGCCAATTCAGTTTTTGCATAAGAAAAATTAACTCAGATATTACCAAGAGCTTGGGCACGTAAGTACTGGTCGTCGTAATCCGGGGGTGGGCAACTTCTCTTGTCGGCGGGCCAAATGTGGGAAAATGAAGTTCTCGGCGGGCCGGATTATAACATGAATAGTACTTTTTATAAATTGATTTCAAAAGAAATATAAGGGATTAGGAAAGAAAATACAAGAGAGAAGTGCAGAAAACTAACTATTATATAGATAAATATTGATAATATACTAGAACAGTGTTTTTCAACCTTTTTCGAGCCACGGCACCCTTTTTCGATTTAGAAAATCCCGCGGCACACCAACATCTGAAAATGTGGCAAAAAGACCTAATATTCACAATATGCTATATTGTTCATATGAGTTTTTTTAAACATTGAAGAAAGATGTTGAATTGGACATTTCCAATATTAAACAAATAAAAACAAGGACAAAAAGTATTTCACAATCGTTCATATTTATTATTCTCACTCAGTGTGAAACCTGGGGCTGTTTGAATGAAGACAGAGCAGATATCCTGGCAGGAATCGATGAAAGGCACACACGAAGCTCTTCATCAACAGCTCTAAGTCTTTCTCTGTTTTTAGTTTTTATAGCAGTCAGGCTTGAAAAGCTCACCTCACACAGATATGTTGTGGAAAATGGGAGCAATGTCAAAATAGCTTTGTGGGCCAGCATGGGGAACTCCTTGGCAGCTGCCAACCAGAAACTGTCCAAAGGTGGATCAGCAAAGCTTAGCTTGAGACAACGATCTTGTTTCAGTTCAGTTAGTTCCTCCTGCTCCTGCAAAGTCATGTCCATTCCAAAAGCTGATGCTGAGCTGAATGGATCCCTAACCCAGTCAAGGTACTCTGTGGTGACTAAAGAGAAATAAAATGATATCTTCTGCTCAAGAATTTTCAAATGTTCAACTATTACCTCACACAGTGCAGCAGTATTAACACCTTGACATTTATTGGTGAGTGGGAACATTTCAAGATTGCCATTTCCCACATGTTGCTGCCAGAGTTGCACCTTGGAACGGAATCCATTTATTTTATCTGCGCTTGTAAGTAGGTTTTCATTTTGGCCTTGCATTCGTGTGTTCAGTTCATTCAGATAATAAAAAATATCTGCCAGGTATGCCAGTCTTGCACAACACTCTTCACTTGCAAGCAGCTTCGTGTACTCGGACCCCTCGTTCGTCAGAAACCCTTTAAGTTCCTCTCGCAGCTCATACACACGGGCCAGCACCTTGCCGCGCGTCAACCATCGGACCTCCGTATGAAACAGCAAGGCTTTATGCTCCGCTCCCATTTCTTCACACAAAGCCGCAAATATGTGAGTTTTCAGAGGTCGTGACTTTACAAAGTTTACCATACGCACAACATCATCCATCACAGGAACGAGGTCTGTCGGTAAAGTCTTGCCTACGAGGGCTTCGCGGTGTAAAAAACAGTGAGTTATGATCACATCTGGGTTTTTCTCCTTCACTCTGCTTACAAAGCCTTTGGTGCGCCCAACCATGGCTGCAGCTCCATCAGTGCAGACACTCGTGCAGTTTTCCCACGTAAGTCTTCCTTTTTCTAGATATTCTGATGCAACGCGAGAAATTTCCTCTCCCGTTGTTTTTTCTGGCAAAGCCTTGCAAAATAGAAAGTTTTCTCTGATTGTGTCTCCATCCAAACCTCACATTAGCCAAGAGTTGAGCATGCCCACTAATATCAGTAGACTCATCAAGTTGCAAAGCAAATTTATTACCGATACGGATCTTGTCCAAAACAACACTTTCTATGTCTGCAGACATCTCATTGATGCGTCTGGAAATTGTGTTATCCGAAAGAGGGACTATTTCTTTGGCCGCTTCGGGCCCGAGCATTTCAGTTACAATGACTTTGCAGGCGGGAAGTATTAATTGCTCTGCCACAGTGTGGGGCTTTTTTGATTTAGCCACAAGTTCAGCTACGTGATAGCTAGCTTTAAGGGCTTTCGCGTTCACCTTTGCGGTTTTTCTCATGAAAGTGGCCTGTTTCTTTGTCTGATCACGCAGGCGAACAAAATAATCCACATTTTTATTTTGAAGTAAAGGGTGTTTAGTTTCAAGATGTCGTTTGAGCTTGCTTGGAACCATAGCACCGTTGGAGAGCGTTTCACCACATACCAAGCACAATGGAGTCGGTGCCGTTGCATCTTCGGTACAAGTAAATCCAAATGAAAGATAGTTTTCGTTGTATTGCCTTGTCTTTGCTTTCTTTTCACCTCCACTCATACTAGGGCCCGGATTTTGTCCAGGGTCCAGTACAATGTCCGCATTTTTTCTTTTCAAAAATTTCTCCATCACAAATGCAAAGCGCAGCCAGGAAGAGCGGGAATGACCTTGAGTCTGAGTCGGTCGAATGCGGGCTCGTATCACGTGACATCTGTATGACGTCACAATTACCTGCCGCTGCATCCATGCTTACAAATCGCCACCGGTTGCTGCCACCTTTTGATATGGAACAGTACTACATGATTATTCTACCGGGCACAACACCTCATATACACACAAATTGGAGAATTTCCCACGGCACCCCTGACAACATTCTACGGCACACCGGTGTGCCGCGGCACCCCGGTTGAAAAACACTGTACTAGAACAGCAAGTATCACAAACAATATCGTCACGCTAATAACCGAATTGCGTAAGTCATTTTTGGCGATTTTGAGTTTTTTATAAAATAGGTATTTATGTAATGCTGCGCACCTGTCTGTTAACTCAGATTTTATTTTAAGAATTCCGAAACCCATACAAAAGGAGATTTAGTATGACATGCACATTTGTGCAATTGTTTCGTCATAATCAATTATCATTGTTACCGCAGGACTATTATGACGTCACAAAGGAAAAATAACCTCTGCGAAGTATTTTTGAGTTTTTGTATCTCGGATTCTAGCTTAACCCGTATTAATTTGAATTTATACTACAGTATAGGAAGGCGTGCACTTGTGATATTCACTGTCCGAGTCCAATTCACCTTGGTTGGTTTTTATATTGGGTGCATTGCTGTTTTATTCTTTATATTTATTCTTAGTCTTATTTCGGTGGGTGTGCAGAACGTGTTATATTGATGAAATATATATTTTTAAACATAAAAAATAATGTATTTGAAACTGATTATCTTTTTTAGGGATTAGACATTGTAGATACTGAGAATTACATTCGTTTTTGGAATGTTTAATTTTCAGGACTGGTGCATATAGTAAAGTTGCAAAATTACGTATGTCCCCAAGTCATAGACACATTTCTGCCTAAGCCACAGTGCGCCATTATGACGTCACTTAACTGCGTCATACAAATTAACTTAAATCCGGCTACGATCAAAAAACTGAACCATGGCAAATTATTGACTCTCAATGGCATAGCAATATCATTAGGAAGTTTTTTACGTTTTTCCCAAAACTGCTAAAAATGACTTACGCAATTCGGTTATTAGCGTGACGATATGATGCTTTTAAATGAAGTGTTCCTAAAAATAAAGTGCTCATGTACATATACATATTTGGGGGCTCCCGAAGTATGCGAACCAAGATGGCGGACATCGGAATGTAATATGTGTACTAGGTTAGGGTTAGGCCATAATTTTAGGTATAAATACTACGGGAGGCTCTTGGACTGGAAAAAAATTATCGCCCAAGCCTAACCTGTTACCCATGTTACGCTGCGATGTCCGCCATCTTGGTTCGCATACTTCGGGAGCACCCATATTTGGATACACAGCAAGTATCACAGAATGAAATTTAGGGCGAAATGTTGATAATATACTAGAATAGCAAGTATGATAATTAGTATGTTACTTATGGTAAATGCAGTGTATAGATTGTAATATAAATATTCAATATTTAAAAAAAAATAAAGTTCTCATGTACATATAGATATATTCGGCTACAAAGCAAGTATCATAGAATGAAATTCAGGGCGAAATACTGATAGTATTCTAGAATAGCAAGTATGATAAACAATATGATACTTATGAATAAAGTGTTACTATTGGTATTGGTAAATCCAGGCCTGGCGCAAATATACATCGGTACAATCTGTACGCGTAACATAGGCAACCATTCTAACAACATTTCTACAATTCCACGGATTTACACAATCACTTAGTTTTCTCCTTTGTTTCGTAATTTTACGAGTCTATCACATCATTTTATGCATCTGCCGGCAGGTATTGGTTTCGTTACACACTGTACTTGACACATCTCTTTATTAAAGTTGGAAGAATTCATAATCGTTTAAGTCAGGGGTCGGCAACCTACGGCCGATCCGACCCGCGACGCTACACTGAATTATACTAACAAAACAGCTGTTCTGACGAATATATTCTTTACATAACAGAATTTAGACAAGTCTAGACTAAATTATATTATAATCTAACAAGTATAAAATCATCCGTTCGGTTTTCAACTTTCTAAAAATATGTGCGGCCCGCTAATGACTTGCAACCCTTAATTTTGGCCCGCGAGCGACAAAAGGTTGCCGACCCCTGGTTTAGGTGGTGTTGTATCGGTATGTTGTTACGGAAGAGAGAGGAAGCCATTTAGTCGAATTCTATTTCAATACAGCACGTCTCGCATGATTGTCATTAGCTCAAATGTTATGGAGTTCGAATTGCTAACAAGAGGCAAGAACATTGTAAAAAATCGTTCTTTCACACGACACGGTAACATTTGTTAGCTTCGAATAGTCACGATTACGGTGATGACTCGTGACTGTAATGTAGTGGCGGGTCTGATTCTGACCTAACAAACGCAAAGCTCGTCTCGATAAAACTTCCCGACTCTTAAGGATTCTATATGTAATGAACACTTATTTTAAATGTTTAAATCAAATTTTGTTAATATATATTATACAAAGATCAAGGTGAAATAAAAATGAAAAACTAGCATGAATCGCAAAGAAAGAATGTGAACGACCCTAATCTTTCGACAGTAACCGCCAGTTACCTAGTAGCCCTAGACCAGTGTTCTTCAACCTTTTTTTTATTGTGGTATACCTTTTAAAATTTTTCAAGAACTTTGTATACCTCACAAATACCAATGTTTTTTTAAGGCTCAAATAAACAATAAATTTTAAGCACATATTGTACTGCAACATCATCATGCAATCTAATAGGCTAGTGTTCGCAGGTTATAAATTTGACTGACGGCCTTAGCGTCAACGGGAATAATGTTCAACGTAAATCAAACGAAGTGCATGTCAGCCGAAATCACCGACCCAGACACGTGACCGCATTATCTATTTCGTTTGCGATGTAACAATGTGCTCACGTCGATTCTTTGCGAAGCCTATATGACAATTTATATTTCATGTGCGCCGCGTTTGCATTGTTGTCTCCGCTTGAATATTTTAGAATTTAATATATTAGAGTTTAGAATCCCTGACTTGGCTGTATACCCTTTATCAGTTGTATACCCAACTTGTGGACCGGTATACACTTGGGTATACCCAGTGGGGGGATTCAATTTTTTGTCAGTCGGTTCCATCACACAAATGTCATATTTTCAACCGGTTCTGTCACAAAAGAAAATCATGTTTTTTTCGGTAATGCTAACCGGTTCGCTGATCTCATAAAATTCCGTGAGACGGTTCTATAGAACCGGTGCGAACCGGCTGAATCCCACTACTGGGTATACCGTATACCCGGTTAAGGAGCGCTGGCCTAGACCAGTGATTACCAAACTTTTTTGTACCACCCCCTCCCCCCCCCCACATTTTATGTCGATCGCGGGACAAAATTTAGGGTTGCTAGTCTTTTGCGGGTCGCATAATATATTTTTTGAAAGTTAAAAATGGAACAGCGCGCGAAAACTGCGACAATTCGTGAACTCAACTCAGTCGTGTTAATAAAAAATTATTGCAATGACATTTAATGTCACACTGTCTTGTTGCTGTATTACGCTTGATAGCTTTACGACGACAAGATTGGGTCATTTTGAATGGGCATCACTAATCCTAGTTCTTTGCTTGTTCTTTGTAATGTTCAATTTCGAAAATAATTGTTCGCACTAATATGTACTTCCAAACATCGGAATGAATATTTTCGCATGGTTTGTGAAATTTTGATAAAGATTTTCTTTAAGAAGATACATTCTTACAAAAATTAAGCAGTGATGAAACTTTCGAATTAAACGATAAGCTGTTCAGTAGAATTTTTAGGATATAATAAAATTTAGTCTAAACGTGTCTCACGATAAATTCTGTTACGTAAAAAATGTAATTTACTTCTTGAGCGTAGATTATAAATAAAATTAATTCATCGCCAAAACCGACGCTTGGATGTTTCCCTGGGCATAGACTTCCCTGTTTACTTCGCGAGATTGGCCAATCAGCAAGATGCAAAAATAAACGTAACAATGGCCCCTTTCGCATCCGCTCAGACACATTTCTCACTCAGACAGATTTTCAGGCGTGGTCGTGAACATTACCTCATTTTCGCGTTTTTGATTTATATTCGTTTTTTCGGAAATTTAAATATAAATCAAATGGGGTCAATGATTACTTTGTCTTCCTAGGAGTTTCAGTTCAATTACAGTAATCAAAAATTAGTATAGGAATAGCTGTGATAGACTTGGCTAAAATTCTTTACCGGTACTTTTAAAAAGCAGATTGTTGAATGGTATGAATTAGAATGATAGTTTAAAACAAATACCCCTTTTACAGGCAACAACTCGCGAAACCACTCTTAGAATAAGCACCGAAAATTTTAAAATGGTAAAGTATAAAAAGACTTTTCTGGGGTCAAAGGTCTGGGAAAGGTCCATTCAGTGAAGCGCCCCGGTAATCAAGTGCACGATGCGCCGAACAACAACAGGTTTCGCGACCAACGTCCCCCCCCCCCTATCGTCCCCTTCGACTTTTTCACCCCCTTTGTATCGTGGGGTGATATCGCCCACTTTGGGAATCACTGGTCTAGAGTCTAGACCAGGGCTTCCCAAACTTTTAAGCTCGCGGCCCCTTTTGATATATTAAAATTTTTCGCGGCCCTTGTTCACGCTAATAATGCTAAACAGTTCAGAATATGCATTTTTTGATATTTTATTGACACAGCTAATTCTCAACTTTTAATAGGGCTACTCAATAACAAAAACATCTTTACTCAGATTATTCAATGTAATGGGTGCGAATCTTTCTTTCTTAAGTCTGCCTAGTTTTTCTTTAAAATGCTCAAAACTAACTCATGTTCGATAAACTCGGTCAAGCAAATGAATAAACTGCGGCCACATCATTTGCTTTGATGAGAAACAATGAAACATTTAGAATAAATAAAATATGTGATATGTTTCGAGGCGCACTGGGCA